AAAGATAATAAGGTTTTCCTTTTTCCAATGCGTCCTCATTTACTGTCATTCATGTGTTGAATTTAGAAATAAAAAGAAATGGACTCCTTCTGATTTAACAGCTACAGGAAAGAGAAAGCCTGGCCGGTTCCTGGGAAGGAGGCTTGGGAACACGCCCGGCACTGCTCTGCCGGCAGAATCTGCACACAGCTGAGAAAGACTGGCTTTCTGTGACTTTGGCAGATAGTCAGTCACATGAATTTTTATGGCTTTTAATCGTCACAATTTTAACTTATAATGGCCGAGAAATGGGTTTTCTAAAAATATCACTGCTATTTTTTTACATTACGTCAAATGCTTAGGTCCATATCTATATTCACATACCTAATAGGTATGTATCTATATTCATAACCCAGGAGCAGTTGTCACATTCTATTCTATCAACTCATCTGTTTACATATCTGCCTTCTGTCTCACGTGACACACACTGTCGCATTCAACTTGATTACACTTACAGAGTAGCCTCTGGTTTGAGGGGGTACTCAAAAAATGCGGGCTGGGAAGGAATGTATGGGAAGGTACCTTGGATGACAGCCATCGAAATTGGACTTTATCTTTTAGGAAATGAGATGCAACTCAACATGTTTAACCAGGTGACTATCATAACGAAAGCAGTTTTAGGAACGTTAGCGCTCGCAGCCCACAGCGGATCGAAGGCAAACGGAAGCGGAAGGGGCAGGTGGGAGAAAACTTTCCCAGGAGAGATCTGAGGCAAAAATGAGAGCATTAAGACGGTGGCAGTAAGGACTGATGCAAGAGACTTTATAAAGAATTTACAGGAACTGGATTCTGGCTCCATTTAAGGAGGCAAGAGGGGAAATGATCCCAGGTCGGCTGAGGTTTGAAGACTGGGTGACTACATGATGATGCCATTAGCAAGAACAGGGATGTTAGAAAAGGAACTGGTTTTAGCGGGGAAATGATGACTGTGGTGTGAGACATGCTGAATGAGAAGTAGGCAGACCCCAAGAGGAATGTGTTAAGAGTCAGTGTGGTGAAGGGTAAGGTTTAGAAATGGAGAAGTCTTTAGGGGTAGAACCTTTTCAGAAAATGTCTGTGCTTTCCACTTAAGAACAGAAGGGACAGGAAGAAGCCACTGTCCAAACAGACCAGAGCATTTTTGTGCCCTCAAATATGAAACCAGTTAAGAACCAGACTGGTTCTGTTCTCACTCCTCTATGACCTGCTGCAACAGAAAGGACTAAGCAGGAACCAAGAAGGC